ATTTTTTGCCTGCTGAAACCTAGCAGTTCGTTTTTACGTACTTGTTGTGGAGGTCCCACCAACTGCTTTGCGGTATGGAGTCGCGGTGTCTCCTCCCAGTACTTTCTGTGTTGTTCCGAGATCCACTGCCCAACTGCCACCCTAACTTGGGCATGAGATATACCGCAAATTGCTAGAAGATGAAACAGACCAACTACTATTTTTGGAGAACGGTTGTCGAATATCGGAAAATATGTGTTAAAGATGCAAGAAATGGCACTCCTTTGTCTTAATTTAAGGCTCAAACAGCAGGACCCTGAATTTCCTTGGCCAGCTCCAATCTCTTATATGAATCCATTAGAATATTATTTTAGCTCTCACGTAAAAGGCACTTAAAACAAGTCGGTTTGGAAGTGATATCGGAAAACCGCGTAAAGATTGAAATTCCTCATCACCAAAAATCCACTACTTCTACCCATTTTTGACGCAAATTAAATTGAATAAATATATATATGTCAGGTTCAAAATGTTTTCCGACACCTAGTCTCCATTGTTCTCGATCCTTCCAAAGATCTTCCTCCAAGCCTCTATCTCTAATATCCTCATTTATTCCCTCTCTCCAGCTTCTCCTTGGTCTACGTCTTCTTCCTGCTGGAGTTTACGTACCATTATTTATTTTGGCAGTCACTCGTATGTCTGTCTTTTTTCGTGTTTATGTAATCTATAATACTGTGCCGAATTCCCATAATCTCTCGTGTTCGGTCATTGCGACTATTTTTTCATTTGAACCTAAATTTAATGAAGCAAATCCTGAAGTTTTTCTAAGCTAACTGGAAACTGCCGTTACTCTATCGCACATTCATCGCCAGTCACGTCTTCCAGCTGACCATTTACTTTCAGCAAACGAACTTCTGGACAATTCTGGATTTGAACCCATAACTACAAGCTACGACTATGACTCTCCTTTGAGTGAAAATGGAGGCTATAAACCCAAATACTACATATTTAAGGAATTGGTGACCGCTGCCAATCCAATCCAAACCTACCTTCCCGAAGAACCGGAAGATATTGTACCTATAGCTTATGAGTCGATAAGAATCGAGAAAGTGATACCATTCGAATCAATGGTAGAGCACAATACTCTTGATCTTATCTTCAGCAAGAATGTTTTATCAATGGAGAAATTGGATATCAACGATGGCTCAGGGCAGAGCAATGGACATATTGTGTACCGCAAGGAAAACATCGACTTGAATGAAAACTCGGTATTAACTATCGAAGGTTAGTTACCGGCTGCTAAATTCCATACACTTATTGATTAAATAAAATGTGCCCGTTAAAATTTGATCAAAACTGCCATTTTAAGGACACGTATGTGATCACGTGTTGGTACTGGTAAATGGAGAACTGATTGCTCCTAAGCAGCTAAAATATTTGTCCGATCTGGATGGCTTCGGATTCTGGAGACTAGAAGGATCCAGTCTGATTTTAAATGAAGAACCTATCAGGGGTGCAACTTTAGATATCATAGTCGAAGAGATGGGTCGTTTTAATGTGGGAAAGTTCAACCAGTACAACCACACTTTTAAAGGTCTTTGGCAAGGTACGCTAACGGTAGACATTTTACCTAAATTTAATGTTATAAATCAAGTACGTTCTATTGATTTAGGAAACGTAACTATTAATGGTGAGAATATTTACGATTGGACAATCATGCCATTGGAATGGAAGACTCAATGGGTAAATGAATTGGAAGGCTGGGAGGACTTAAGCGACAGGGCGCAAGAGGCACCGACTATGTACAACAGTGTTTTACATATTTCTGACGAACCACAAGACACTTTTGTTGACACTAGAGGGTGGGGCAAAGGTAATAATTTATATTCAGAATAGTCAGGATATTATGGTAAACATTAACTTTCAATTATGCTAAATTTCTATTTACATTTTCAGGGTTGATATTCGTTAATGGTTTTGCGTTGGGAAGATATGTGGCGATTGGACCTCAAAAATCCCTCTACTTACCGGGGCCACTTTTGAAAACAGGCGAAAATCAAATTAACTTTTTCGAACATTTCTATAGCCCTGAGGATGGGTTGATCAAGTTTACCGACCAGCTAATTTTGGAAGGCGTATTTTAATCATTCGTAAAATAAAAAATGACTATTTTGCCTATATTTATTCATAAACTATCTGAAAGTTGCAAAAATCACTTTGATAATACCTAAACCATGGAAGCAGCGACAAAATTACTCTTAAAACGATGATTTCCTTGATGTATCTAATATTTTCAGATATTTGAAATATCTAAATATTCAAATCAAATTGTTTTTTATGTTAACTAGTTTTTTTTAAATCATATATGTTTATATGAGGGAATATTGATGCTGTGATGAACATGTGAATTACGCCAATTTTACGTGTATTCAAATATTGCCACCCTGTAGAAAACTTATCTGAAATAACGCTTCAAACAAAAATAAATCGCTCTCAGCAATCAGAATTTATTCATCTCCAAAATTAGTCCAAATTTGTCCGTGTAATGTCTATTTTGTTGCTCAGTTTAGTTGAGATATAATTGACAAACATAAACCCAAATATAAATCATAGCGTTAAACATTCAAAAGTATATAAGATATTGATTAGGTACTCAATCAACCAATTGAAATAAAAAAGTTAAATAACGAATGTTCTTACACCTAAAATGAAAACGCATATCTGATTAATTTGCCAATAAGAAATATAAACCATTAAGATTACAAGATAAGATTTCATTTTTTTGTGTTGAGACAATTCTAAAATTAAGAAGAAAGAGAGCGAAGAAAATTCGCTTTGCCTTTGCATGCACACGTAGAGGAACGGTGGAAAATCAGGAACCGTAACGTCCAAAAGCCGACCACAGTTAAGAAATTTATTTAATTAAAAATATTTGCAAAGGTAAAAAGGCATAAAATCTTCGTAGCCACTTAGTAATAATAAGTTGCATTGCATATTTTGTCTTACATTTGACGCTTTCCGAAAAAACATCTATGCGAAAAATATTTGCCGCCTCTGTGGACACTGGGCAACTCTGTTTTTAATCAAACTGTATAAACTAAACTTAAGCTGCTCTCGATTTGAAGGTTTCAGATTTTATTTTAGTCGTTATCGAGAAAAAACAGCTCTCCAAGCCCTCTATTGAAGTATCTAGATATACACTTTCGAACTGAGCTGGAATTAAATCCCTATAAGTTCCCCTAATTCATAACATAAAAAGTAAACTTTTTCTTAAGAGGTTACTGAGAGAATATTTCCAACCGTTTTGGAAACATACGTTGCTTTAAACCTAAGTAGCCCTTACAATAATTCTGCATTTGCTTACGTCTTTTTAGAAGTTGGAAATGTCTGATAAAACCGAAACCAAACCGTTGAAGGACGAGTAAGTATCGAAAATGGTCGATATTTTCAGCTATTTCAGTACCTGAAAAAGGGAAAAACTCTACTCCAATATTCTATTGTTTTATAAGATGAACTCGTTCAGAAAGTTTTCAACCGATTTCAGTCTGAACTAAACTAGAAAGTTTGTAAATTTTCGATGACCCCATTGGGGGCAGAGCCCTGTACGGATTTGAGCTCCCGTTATTACTTTTGCAGCCTGGTGTAAATAACAATAGGCAATTTAGTGAAACGACAACAATTACTTGAAACTATAAGATTTTTAACAAAAAGCCCAGGCGTCTTACCATTGAAAATACGTTTGGAATGAGTTTTTGAAAAATTGCAAAGTTCACATAAAACGGATTACGTAATTTTAAAATCAAATACTTACTCTTATCATTAAATTGCATCTGATAAGAATTTTGAGCTCCTATATCCCAACACTAAATTAATTTGAAATTCTTATTGTCAGCAACCAATCAATCGCGAAATAGGTATATTTCCGCCATCTCACACTCAATGTACGATAGATTGATTGATCCATAAACTTCTCATAAAGAAAAGCAGAATATCTTGCGATATCTAATTCTAGTGGCCGCTAGATGGTAGAACACTGCGATCAATAATTTTGAAATCAATAAAACCTCAGTAGGTCTTTATATATCCGTAAATTGTATATACATTCCTGACTGTGTTTCAATTCCAAATCAAATTCATTCCTGGGTTTCAGTCATTTACTGTCTCTATTTATCAATCAAAATACGTTTCGGCGTATTTTTCCACCATCATCAGTTTTTCTAAAATAACAGATAGTTAAAAAAATTTGTCATTAATTTAAAAAACAACCACAGTTCGTCAACAGCCTCATCATATCACACATTAAAATACATCACAATTGCAATACTTTAAAACATTCTAAAATTAATTAGGCTTAACAGGTGATTAGTCAGGACAATCAAATTTGGGAAGAGACAAGAATTCTTCGTTCAGATACTTAAATATTTTTACTTACATGTTACTTATTAATTTTGTCCATTATCGGACACAACACGAATAAAATACTGTTTACATTGATTTCTTTTACTTTCAGCTATTTTTCTTTGCATTCTGAGGATATTATTTTTGGTTTGCAAAATTCTTCAATATACCGGGTGTTAGTTAATATT